TGACGTTTCGGGCCTAGATGAAGGGTCTAGGCCCGAAACGTCAGCCTCTCTGCTCCTATGATGCTGCTTGGCCTGCTGTGTTCATCCAGCCCTGCACCTTGTTGTCTCGGATTCTCCAGCATCTGCAGTTCCTACTATCTCTGATTCCTTACCCAAGTTTGTCTTGGTACCACGATATGTCAGGGAAGAATCTACAGTCAATGTTGAGGACTGTCAGGGTGACTCTCTCCTGACTATATACCACTATGCCGCAACCTCTGGTGCGTCTGTCTGACAGAACATACTCAGGGATTATGGTGGTCATGGCTGAGAGAGAGTCGTACATGCTGAATCATACTTTGTAATGTCAGGTTGTTGTTTGACTAGTATGTAGGGCAGCTCTCCCAGTTTTGGCACAAGTCCCCAGATGTTAGTAAGGCAGACTTTGCAGAACTCAGTGGTCTGCTAGCCCATTTCAAAAGCATTTAAGATTCAACCATATTGCTGTGTGTCTGGAGTCAAATGCAGATTAGACCAGGCAACAGCAGGTTTATTTTTGTAAAGGACTTTTGTGAACCAAATGGGCTTTTACAATAATTGGCTATATTTTCATGGTCATCATTATGCAACAGGTTTGTAATTCCAGATTTATTAAATGAATTTAAATTCTAGCAGCTATTGTAGTTAAGTCTGAACTACGTACTGGCTGAACCAAGTCTGGATTACTGGTCCACTTACATTATCTCTACCATCCTATCAGTCTTATCAACCATGACTGAATGGCAGAGCAGACTCGATGGGCCGAATGGCCTAATTTCTGCTCCTATGTCTTATGGTCCTATTATCTCCCCCATGTCTTGCAGTCATGTTTCTGTAATACCACACTACCACGTCAGACTCTTCAAGTTAAACTTGTGCCTGCAATTCACTCAATTTGTTTACTATATTATACAGGTTTTTATGAACTTATTAGACTTCACAGCCTAGCTGCCCTTCTGCTTTCATGTTCTGTTTTTCTCTTCTGCCTTAATTATTTTACATCTTAGTTCATTTACAGGTGGTGTTTAAAGCAGAATTGATTGTTCCTCTACACTTATCACCTTTTTTTGTTTACAAACTATTTATCTCTACTCGTGTTTCCATTCAGCCCCTCCCCTTCATTTACTAGTTTAAACTCATTGTCTGCTAGGTTTCAGCCTGGTTTGGGTAGAGTCCATCCCAATGGTACAGGCTGGTTCTGGAAAATCCATCTGCATTTAAACGCAATAAGATATGAAGTTGGTTATCAGGAACCCCGAGGTTGTGTTTCTAAGTATAACACTTAGAGGAGGTCAGGGAGAACGCTGTTTGTTACTAAGATCAGCGGAGAACAAACAGAGCAGGCACGTGCCAGGGAAAGAGAACAAACTAAAGCGCACTTATCATTAGCTTCTATCTTTTGAAATCGTGCAGCTGTCAGTATTTCACTCAAAGAGCCTGGGCTTGATTAGAGCAAACAGGAATCAATAGTTCTGCCATTTTCCGCACCTTTTAATTTTTTGGATTCTCAGCATCGTGTTCCTCGTCAGAATCTACAAATTAAACAGAAGCAATAAAAGTCAACTTCCGTGCCTCAGAGACAATGGAAGTGAATTATACCAACAAGCAGGCAGGTATATTTTCAGGCAGTGCTACTCATTCTTTTTTTCTGGATAGAAAATGATTAGTGAATGAAACACATCATTCTGTTTAACCAGTTCTGTAGGTGTTACATTCAAATCCCTCATATTTGCCTTGCTCCTATTTTCTTTCAAGCTTTAAAAAGTTGGCATGGTTCTGTTTCAATCAAAAGTGATTTCACAGTCTTACAATCTTTTAAGGGATTTCTCCTCCTTCTAAATGTCTTACTTTAAGTCTTTTATCAATGGACCCTTGTTCACATGCTTCACAATTGGAAACAATCTACTTCTATCAATTTTGCCCTTCTTGTCATACTCTATTTCTTTTCATGATATTGCCTAATATGCAGAGCATTTCTAGCATTTTTTTAAAATTATTATTTCAGATTTCCAGCATCTGCAGAATTTTGCATTTGTGTTAAACATGGACAGGCTCCCATTAAAGGGCACTCAGAGTTAGATACTAAATAAAAACCAAAAGAACTGCGGATGCTGTAAATCAGGAACAAAAACAAAGTTGCTGGAAAAGCTCAGCAGGTCTGGCAGCATCTGTGAAGGAGAAAACAGAGTTAACGTTTCAGATCCGGTGACCCTTCCTCACCGGACCTGAAACGTTAACTCGGTTTTCTCCTTCACAGATGCTGCCAGACCTGCTGAGCTTTTCCAGCAACTTTGTTTTTGTCACTCAGAGTTAGAGCTCCCTTCGTAGCTAAAGAAATACAACTTTAAGAAAATTAAATAAAAAAGAAACAAATTTGATGGATGTCAATTCATAATTCAACACAGCACCAAGGTGAATATGGGAAGTACAGAGGAAAACTGAAAGAAATGAGGGACAAAGAAAGTATGTGAATAGATTTGCAGATAATGCAACAAGGGAATAAAAAAAAAAATTTAAACAAATTTAAAAGGGCAACCAAAAGGGACATGACTTATTTTGGGACTAAAAAGATAACTTGTAGGGGGTGAATGATATTGTTGAGTACATTGGCTGCATCCTGTACTCTAGTGATGATGGCTGTAGTGTTGTAGCAATGGGGACAGTAGTAGCAATGTTGGATTGGGTACAATAATGAGGTTGTTAAAAAGTTTGACAACACTTAACTGGTACATATAGTACAAATCCTAGGTTACCAAAGGTGGAAATTGTGGGGGCACTAGGCATAATCTCCCAAATATCCTTGAATATGGGAACAGTGAAAGAGCACCAGAAGTTTCAAAAACAAAAATTAACCCTCAATTCTGGGAAGGAGACAGATAAACTGGTACCTCCAGGACAGTCAACTTAACAGCAACTGTGTCTAATGTCTTTAAAATTTCAGCAAAGGAGAATGAAGTTCCATTTGGAAAACACAGGCTAATATAAAGTTAAATGAAAAGAACTACAGATGTAGAAAATATGAAACTATAGCAGAAATCAAATGAAGTTAATGTCTTTTAGCAAGTCAATTTCAATCAAGATTTTTGAACTAGACAGGGTTGATTAGGACGGTGCAATTTATATTGAGTGTATGGACTTTCAGAGGTAACCAAATAGATAATAATAGAGTTATTAGAAAAAGCTATAGGGAGAGGCTGAATAGGTTGGGGCTATTTTCCCTGGAGCATCAGAGTTTGAGGAGTGACTTTATAGAAGTTTATACAATCATGAGGGGCAATGGATAGAGTGAATAGCCAGGGTCTTTTCCCCCACAGTAGGGGGCATAGGTTTAAGCGGGGAGGGGAAAGATTTAAAAGGGATCTAAGAGGCAAATTTTTTCATGCAGAGGGTGATGCGTGCATGGAATTAGCTCCAGAGGAAGTGGAGGAGGCTGGTACAATTAAAGGCATCTGGATGGTACATGAATAGGAAGGGTTTAGAGGGATACGGTCCAAATACTGTCAAATGGGAGTAGATTAATTTAAGATATCTGGTCAGAATGGACAAGTTGGATCGAAGGGTCTGCTTCCATCCTGTATATCTCTATGATTCCATGAGTCTAATTGAAGTCCATAGGCTTAAACTGATACTGAAACCATAGAAACAAAGCTGGCTAACAGACAAAAAAAAAAAAAAAAATCAAAACAACAAGGAATGGTGGTTTGTCAGAGGCAAGGAAATATATATGCATCCCCAGAGGGACTAATATTAGAATCATTTTTTTGTTAATATACAAGGATGACCTGGACCCAGGTATATAGAGTACAACTTCAAGTTGTGCTGATGATATGAAACTTGGAAATGTAGTAAACATTAGGGAAGTTGGAAACAGATTTCATGACTCAGATTGGTGAAATGCGTAGATGTATAACAGGTAAAATTTAATGTGCAGTGATGTATCTCAGTATGAAGAACAAGAAATTATGTACACTAAATTATACAATTTTAGAGAGAGGGCAGAAGAGATGCTTCCAATTGATACAGGAAATAGGACAGTCTTAAAGTAACATGAGGAATTTTTAAAACTTAAACACAGCAAGTTGCTGTGATCTAGAATGAACTGCCTGAAAAGGTGGTGGATGCAGATTTAATTGTAATATTCAAGAAGAAATTGGAAAAACATTTGAAAAATAAATATATTTAGGGCTGTAACAGAAAGGGTAAAGTAGGAGCACTATTTGGATAGCTCTTTCAAGGGGCTGGCACAGGCTCAATTAGCCATATAGCTTCCTTTTGTGCTGCATCATATGCTACCAGCTACATCAGTCTTGGGTTCAACAAAAACATTTCGAATTTAGATCTTTTTTCACATTTCTAACACCTTGCAGTTTGCAGTAGTCTAGTGAATCTGTCCTGCAGCTATCCATTGTCTCAACATCTTTCCGGTGAATGTGGATACACTATAATTGTACAGGTTGCATCAACAGTTGTCTTACTGTCCGCTGGCAAGTCTTTTTTAAGAGATTAACTTATTTTGTTGCACAGCACAGCAGAAAAATTAAAACATTCAAATATTTACAGAGTATTTAAATGTTGCAGTGGACAAACCTTTCAGTTACAGCTAGCCCATGCAATTAGATCTTTTGGTTCCTCTTAAAGCTAAACTTTTTTAGAAAAAGTTTATTTTTAACATATAGCAGATTTTGAAGGAGACAGCCCAAGATAAGTGAAGTGGTGGTTGTTCTGTGGCTGAAAACAGTTAAACTCCCACAACTAACACCTGCAACAACTTAACCCAGACAGCTCAGCCGAAACTAACACTATGCAGGAAATACTCACTGTGGTTTAAGATCATGGCTTGGAGCTAGAGATTTGGGAAATATGTTCCTGTGGCAGAGAATCAATCCCTCAAAAGAAAAAAGTTTCAACCCATCTCTTTGAAAATAACTGAACAGGACAGGATGTGGTGGAGAGACTGTGCAATACAATAGGAGCACCATGTCCAAAGAACTGGCAACTGAAACAGGCACAGACCCAAGACAGGGAGTCTTCTATTGAACCATGAGCTCATTAACCTACGTGCCACACAATAACTTATGCATCCTAACACCATCAGTCTAGCTCAGGGACAAAATTGTATTACTTCCAAAAACAAAAACCACCACATCAGCATTCATGACAACTTCAATGTAAAATGGTCACATCAACCCTGATCAGCCGACCTACAGATATCAATCAGCATGGCTATACTGAAGGTCAGTCACTGGTTAACAGCTGCTCTGTGCTTCAGCAAAACGTACTTCTGAGAATCAACGTCACTTCAACCTCTTCCGTACTGGTTAGAACTGAATTCACACTCCAAAAGGCTGTTCAGAAAGCAGAAGTCCACATTTGAGAAAAACTCAGCAATTGCTCACAACACAGGACAAAACTCAATTTTTGAATCACATTATGGCACTGGAAAGCATATTCTGAGCAGAGTAACAAATACTATTTAGAAAGCATTACTCAGGAATATGAATAGGTTGTAGCTGATATTTACTGCAACATGCACAAAAAAGACGTAAATCAAACTAGAAAAAAAATGCAGTGCTCGTGAAAAAAAAGTTGCAAAACTTCAACATTCTTTGTCACAAGCTTATTTTTAAACAGGTGAACCAATTCAATTCTTACAAGCATGATAACAGTTGGATTTTCTGCACGTGCTTCCAGCCAACATGGCTCTTGGTTCACCAAAAATAAAGTGATGACACCTACGCCACTGAAGGACAAGTACAAGGGCAACTGTGTTCAGTTCTGGTTGCCACACTACCAGAAGAATGTGGTGGCTTTGGAGGGTACAGAAAAGATTTACCAGGATGTTACTTGGTACGGAGGGCATTAGCTATAAACGGGAGGTTGGAGAAACTTGGGTTGTTCTCACTGGAACGACAGAGGTTGAGGGGTGACTTGATAGAGGTCTACAAGATTATGAAGGGCATGGGCAGAGTGGACAGTCAGAAGCTTTTTCCCAGAGTGGAAGAGTCAGTTACCAGGGGCCATTGATTTAAGGTGCGAGGGGCAAGGTTTAAAAGGTAATGTACGAGGCAAGTTTTTTTTTTAAAAACACAGAGGATGGTGGGTGCCTGGAACTCGTTGCCAGGGGAGGTAGTGGAAGCAGATACTATAGTGACTTTTAAAGGACATCTTGACAAATACATGAATAGGATGGGAAGACAGGGGGATACGGTCAGGTAGGGGGTTTTAGTTGTGATGGGCAGCATGTCGGTGCTGGCTTGGAGGGGCGAAGGGCCTGTTCCCGTACTGTAATTTTCTTTGTTCTTTGTACCTTGCAGCACCTCTAATGCTCAATTGTTTAGGACTGGCTTACAGAAGGACTGGTCCCCATTCCATGCAAGAATGCTTCAATTTCAGAAGCACTTAGGAATGTGACATATAATACATTAGGAAAACAGATAAAACCTGTATTTAATTTGCATCTTTAACATAAAAACTGTCATCATTTATACAGAAACATGATCAGTCAAAACACAAAATGAACTAAGGTTCGAGTAGATTTATAGCTTGGGGTGTGGATGCTGTGGTTGATTCACTCGCCAAGCCAACCACAACAGAGAACTGCTTGATGAGTGGTCAAAATGCTCCCTGAAATAGGTGGGTTAAAAGAAGAGAGATGGAAAGCAGGGAGTGGGGTCAGAAGCAGAAGTAAAGATGGTCATAATCTTGGAAAAAAATTCAGAAATTATTATTTCCTGAAGGCCAGGGATCAAGGGTTTTATTGATGATGCAGGAAAGACAGAACTTTACACGGAAGGGGAACTTTCTTCTACCAAGGTGGATACAGCAAGTGGAAGATGGTTAGGAGTTTGCAGATCTGGAGGCGTGAAATTAAATTCTAACAATTGAGTTAGTCAGTGGTGGAAGACTTTGGGAGGAATTTGGCTCTAGGAGATGGTGAGTTTCAGTGGTTTGCACCAAATGTTAAGGCAGGATTAAATTGTCTAATGTAACAGGTGCTTAGGGAGGGAATACACTACATTAGGCACTAGATTCAGAGCCGTTCTCACTTGTTCCACAGACTAGCATGTGGGTGGAAATAAATTGTGCAGGGAAGAGGATAAGTTGGGAGTCCAGATTGTGGAGAATTTTTTTTTTTTTTAAAATATGATATAAATCAGAGTACTTGGGACAGAATAACATCCCCAGTTTCAGCAGTCCTGGGCAACTGCTGTTTCCTGATCGAATCATGGATGTCGTTTATGCAAAAATTTTGGTGAATGGCCAATTAATGTTGATTTGCATGCAGGATATCTAAGTGGAAATTAATCAGACCATCAATATTCTAAACACGATTGTACATTTCACACCAATGAACACATATCTGTGGTAAATTAACAGCCTATCATTCCATTCGATTAGTGATTATTGACAGCCATGAGCCTATACAGGTTGAAACTTCCCCACAATTTCTGTTGTATACCTACAATACTCACCAGCAACAGATTCAGGAGGTGAATAAAACTGTCCATCAGACAGGGGGCCAGGAAGAATAAGAGGTGCATGCTCTGATACATCAGACACTACAAAGAATCCTAGAACAGGAAGAATGACACTTATTACAGACACAGGCAGACCAAATTGTACAAGATTTATTATAGTTCATATCCCTAAAACAAGTTAGAAGTTGTAATTTAGTTTACTGACCTGACATGCATCATACCATTCAAATGTATAGACCAACATGCTATTGATTTGAATGCTCTTACAGCAAGAGTAGAATCCCATGGACTCATGAAAGGGAAATCAGGCCTGACAAATTTACTAGAATTCTTTGAGGTGGTAACAGCAGGACAGATAAAAGGAATGCAGTGGATGTAATATGTTTGGACTTTCAGAAGGCTTTGATAAGGCACCATACATTAAGCTGTCTAATAAGAGCTCATAGTGTTGGAGGTAGTATAATTAGCATGGGTAGGGGATTGGCTAACTAATAGAAGACAGAGTTGGGATAAGGAGGCCATTTTCAGGATGGCAGTCTAATTACTGGTGTGCCACAGAGATCAGTGGTGGGGCCACAATTATTACAACATATATTGATTACACAGACAAGAATGGTGACTATACTGCAGATGACACAAAAGTAAGTGGGAAGGCAAGTGGTGAATGTGTCTCTGGAAGAATATAGGCACGTTAAATGAATAGGCAAGAGACAGTAAGAATTGCCGATGCTGGAATCAGAGATAACATATTCTGAAGAAGGGTCCTGACCTGAAACGTCAGCTTTCCTGCTCCTCTGATGCTGCCTGGCCTATTAATGATTAGGCAAAACTTGGTAGATGGAATACAATATGGTAAAGTGTGAAGCAATGTACTTTGACAGGAAGAAAAGAAGAGCTGAATATTATTTAAAATGGAGAAAGACTACTGAAAGCAATGGAACAAAGGAATTTGGGAGCCTTCATCCACAAATCACAAAAAGTTAGCATCCAAGTTCAGCAGGTAACAGGAAAGACAAATGGAGAGTTAACCTTTATTACAAAGGGAATTGAGTGTAAAAAGAGGGAGATTTTGCTAAAACTATACAAAATACTAATTAGATCTCAGCTGTAATACTGTGAACAGTTTTGGCTCTCTCATCTAAGTCAAGATATTCTGGCATTGGAGGCAGGGCAGAAAAGGTTCACAAAGCTGAAACCAGGTATACAAGGACTGTCTTAGGAGGAGAGATTGAGTAGGTTAGGTTTCTACTCATTAGACTTTAGAAGAATGAGGCAACTTTGTCGAAACGTACAGCACTCTTAGGGATTTTTACAGGGTAGATGTGGAAAGGTTATTTCCCCCTATCTAGAACAAGACGGCATAATCTCAGAATAAGGATTCACACATTAAGATATAGATGAGGAGGAATTTCTTCTCTCAGAGGATAGCAAATCTGTGGAATGCTTTACCAAAGAGGGTTATCAAAGCTCAGTTGTTAACTATGTTCAAAGCTGAGACAGACAGAATTTTAAATAGTAAGAGAATCAAGGGTAATGGATTAAAGGCAGGTAAGTGGAGTTGAGGATTATCAGATCAACCATGATCTCATTAAATTCCCCAAGACGTAGAGCACGTACGGGCATAAAATTGTAACTTGAACTGATTTCAATGCAAAATTCAGTGTTACAAATCAAATTATTGTGTACCATCTATATCACCTGCCCCTGATTATCCGAGTGCAGCCTGTGGGGAATAGACAGCACAAAAAGCAGTAACTGCACTTACTGTTTTCACCCTTTGCCTCTTGTGGCAACACCTTAAAATCCAGGAACCAAGTCTCAATCCAGGCTAGTATGAAGGAGATGATTGGCAGTAAGTAAGCAAAGGCAGTACCTTGGACCAGGAGCTAAATTAAAATGAAAACCATTGACAAATTAAAAATCATGATGGTACAAAATCACAATTTTTAAAGAATTTATTCTTTCACAGGATGTGGATGTTGCTGGCTAGACTGAATTTATTGCCATCCCACACTGCCCTTGAGAAACTAATTATGAGCTATATTCTTGAACTGCTACAATCCTTGGGGTGTAGGTACTATTAATCTGCACTTGGCAATAAATTGAATGTCAGTGAGTAAGTTAAGTTCCACTAAGGTTGCTTAGCTCCTGACTTCATTACAGCTTTGATTCAAACGTGGACAAAAGAGCTGAACTCCAGTGGTGAAGTAAGAGTTACAGCTCTGACGTCAAGGCTGTATTTGACAGTGTGCCATCAAGGAGGTCTAGCAAAACTAGAGTCAATGGGAACCTGTGGCAAAACTCTGTGCTGGTTGGAGGCATACATAGCACAGAGGAAGATGGTTGCAGTTGTTAGAGTTTAGACATTTCGGTTCCAGGACATCAATGCAGAAATTTCTCAGAATAGTGTCCAAGACTCAAACCATCTCCATTAATGACCTTCCTTAAATCATGAGGGGTCAGAAATGGGAACATTAGCTGATGATTGCACAATATTCAGTAGCATCTGTGACTCCTCAGATACCGATGCAGTCTATGTCTAAATGCAGCGAGACCTGGACAAATCCAGCCTTGGACTGAGAAGTGACAACTAACATTTGCTCCACATAAGTGCCAGGCAATGACCACACCCTTCAAGACAGAATCTATCCATTGCACCATGACATTTGATGGCATTACCACCCCTGAATCCCCCACTGTTGACATGCTGGTGGTTATAATTCACAAGAAACTGAAGGGTACTAGCCATGAGCAGGTCAGAAGCTAGAAATCCTGCAACAAGTCACTTATCACACAAAGCCTGTCCATCATCTACAAGGCACAAGTCAGGAATGTGATGTAATACTTCCTTAATGTCTGAATGTGCGCAGTTGCAATAATGTCCAACAAAACTTGACAACATCCATATCAAAGCAACACAAATATTCAATTCCTCTATCACCAACACACACTAACAGCAGTGTGTGCCATCTATAAAACGTATTATAGAAATTCACTAAAGCTCCTCAGACAGCACCTGCCAAACCTATGACCACTACCATCTAGAAGGACATAGGCATCATGCATGGGAATACCAACGTTTGCAAGTTCTACTCCAAACCAATAACCACCCTAACTTGGGCTATATCACCATTCTTTCACTGTCACTGGGTCAAAATCCTGAAGCTCCTCCCTAATAGCACTGTGGGCGTACCTACATCAAACGGACCATAATGTTTCATGAAAGCAGCTCGCCATCACCTCGCAAGGGGGATGGGAAATAAATGCTGGCCCGGTCAGCGAAGCCCACATTCCCTGATGAATAACAGAACAAAATCTAGGGCACTGTCCTTGTGAGATTGGAAGGTACTATCAAAGGAATCTTGGTGAATTAATGCAGTGTGTTTTGTAGATGGTATACACTGCTAGCATTGTGCATTGGTGGTGTTGAGCCAGAGTACTGTTGGAGGCTGCATTCATCCAGGAAAGAGGAAAATAGTCCACTGCACTCTTGAATTCTGCCTTTTAGATAGCAGAGAGACTGCAGGAGTCAAATGGTGAGCTGCTTACTGCAGAATTCCTAGCCTCTAGCCTGATGTTGCAGCCATAATGTGGTCAAGTTCAGTTTCTGGTCAATGGTTAGCCCCAGTTTGTTCATAGTGAGAAATTCATGATGGTAACATGAGTTGAATCAAGGGGAGAGACCGCAGATTCTTCCAAGTTTGAGACTGCCACTGTCTGGCACTTAAGTGATCAGTAACATTTATGCACACATCAACCCTGAATGTTACCTGGTTCTTGTTGAATAGACAAACTGCTTTGGTATCTGATATCTGGTGTTGAACACTGTACAATCATCAACTAGCACACCCACTTCTGACTGCAGGATGGGTCATTGATGAGACAGCTGAGGACACTACCTAGATAAACTTTGGCAGTGGTGAACTGGGACTATGATGACTGGCCACTAAAAATCACAAACATCTTCCTTTGTACTATGTGTAATTCCACCCTGTGAAGAGTTTTGCACCTGATTCCCACTGACTTCATGTTTTCTACTTTTCCTTTATATCATACTCTGTCAAATGCTGCTTTGATTTCAAGGGCAGTCAGTCCCACCTTAATGAATATTTTATTCAGCATTTTGAAGCACAGTCAGTACATACCTTGGAAACAATTACTTTTACAATTAGAAAGGCACTGGTGACAGCTGTTGTAATCTGTGAAGAGAAGAATAATGAAGAGAAGAAGCATTTACAGTCGTAAGAGGAGAAATGACAGATTTGGTAATTCAGTGCTCAGTACTGATGAAAGATTAATCTAACTTTATTTAAACGTTAGAACTGTGACCCCACTCATGAAAATGATCACACTTTATCCAAAGTTATTCATTCGATCAGACACACCTAACAGAAATCAGGTAATCACGACCGAACCTTCTATTTGTACTGTCCAGCCCTGACAGGGGTCATGCTCTCTGCATCATTCAAGAGTGTGTGGAACAGTGAAATAACATTTGAGGGAAGAAATAATTTTGTGTGCACCAGATTAGTTACTCAAATCAAAAGCTCACAGGTCATTGAAATGTAAATTGCTACATCACTCGATTGAGAAGAGGTGCCCTTTCATAGAATCCCTACAATGTGGAAACAGGCCCTTCGGCCCAACAAGTCCACACCGACCCTCAGAGCATCCCAACCAGACCCATACCCCTATAACCCACCTAATCTACACATCCTTGAACACTATGGGCAATTTAGCATGGCCAATCCCCCTAGCCTGCACATCTTTGGACTGTGGGAGGAAACCGGAGCATCCGGAGGAAACCCACGTAGATATGGGGAGAATGTGCAAACTCCACACTGACAGTAGCCCGAGGGTGGAATCGAACCCGGGTCCCTGGTGCTGTGAGGCAGCAGTGCTGATAGAACTCCTACTCCCTGATCTGGAATCGAACCTGGGCCACTGGGCTGAAAGCGCCAAATCCTAACTGCTAGACCACCGCTAACTTCAGACTTCAGTTACAGCAAACTGCTGGCCAGTTTACAAAGAATTTGATTCTACACATTTCCCAAATGAACATGATAATAGCTTATTTTCACTGCATCTATAGTCCATGTCACCATTTATAGACAATTTTAATATAAGCCTCTCATCTGTTTTGAGGAAGGGATTAAGAAGAGGGCAGTTTCTGGCTGACATTTGGTAGATTTTCAATGTTTTAAGACAGGGAACAACAGCAATATTGTCACACCACTCACCGCAATCATCCACCAGTGGTTTAACCTAAACAGAGCGTACGCAATAACCAGCATAAGGAATCGGAACACTGCCAGTAACTGGGAAGGACAAAGAGGATTAGATAAAAACTGTAAAGTATTTGAAGCCACATTAAATAAGTATTTCAAGAGAAAATCTACTCACGAAGATATCAAAGTAAGATTTATGGAAGTCATAGTGAATGACCTCACTTTCTAAACTATGAATTATGCCACCATCTACCTAGAAAACAAAAAGACACAAGTGGAATTATTTTGCCAGCAATGGTTACTGAAACTGGGGATTAAATAATCCAACATCCAGATACATACTGGCAGTTATTCAGATTTTAAACATGGATCAGATATACTAAACATTACCAATTTGTAAGCACTAAGAAATGTCCTAATTATCACCACCAATTAGTGTTGGGCAACAAATGCTGTCCTTACATTCCGTGAAAACAAAAGAATTATCAAGCTATTCTAAAAGAAACTATTCAGTTTGTGATATTCCGATACATTGCAGTTATTAATCACGTTTGCCATGGGATCATTGCCAGCATAAGCGTGGAGTTTCATTTCCGAAACTCCTCAAAATACTGATTTACCATGAAAATCTAGAACTAATAATTCACAATAAATATCCAGAAGAAATGGCCCTTTGTTACTCCAAGTGCATTTGTATGGAGTGAGCTAATATTATGAAAAATAAATAAAAGGGCATATACAGGAAGAGCAGGAAATAGACAGGGTGCAGAACTCTATCACAGAGTGGAACATATTAGGCTAAATGGACTCTTACCAAGTTGCAAAATTCGATGAGTCCATAAACACCGTATCAGAATAATTAAACCAGATCTGAATGATTCAAAGGCCTCAAACAGGGTGGTCAGCTCAAGTCTGAATGAATGTCAACAATCCATTAAATTGACCTTATATTAAACCAAAACAATCAGTTTCAGTTCTGCAAATCCTGGAGCCTTCAAAAAAAAAAACTAGGGAAACAGGAGACAGAATGTCTCTCTTTGAATGTCCTGACCTTTTCACCCAACAGCCCAACACATGGTCCTCCGAAACCCATTCCCTTGATATACATTGCTGCAAAGTGTGAAGAGGAAATGGTAGTGGATCACAATATTGGGGCAATCCCTTCTGGGGTAAACTCATATGTAACATCTGCAAACTGGGAGTGTGGAAGAAATTACAGGTTAACAGTGGCTATTTTGGTGAGAATCAACACTGCAGTCAGTCATTTTGAAAACTAGTTCTTAGCTGAAAGTGCAAGGAATAAGAAACTTAAAGCTTCTAGGGGCCTGTAATATGGCAGTTTCTGAGTAGAGTTTAGGCAGGCCTTCACAAGGTGATGACAGTTAATGACTAGAGGATTACATTTAAGTTAAAGCTGCGTGTACAGCAATACTGTGTTGCTTAAATGAAGTTGACACAAGGAAAGCTCTCTATCAGAGGATTTTTCAAAACATGATATGCATGACTCTGGCAAGGTCAAAGTATTTTGGCCCATCTGAATTTCCCTTGAGTTAGTGGTAATGGGAGACCTTCTCGAACTAAGTGAATTGCTCTGCTATTTCAGAGGGTAGTTAAGAGTCAACCACATTGCTGGGGAACTGGAGTCATGTATGCCAGACCAGGCATACTCCCTTCCCTGAAGAACATTAGCGAAGCAGATGATTGCTCTTTACAACAATCAATGATGGTTTCATGGTCACCATTATTGAGGCTAACTATCAACTCCAGAATTTTATTAAATTAGTTAAAGTGAAACTCCATAGCTACCAAGGTAGGATTTAAACTAGTGTCTCCAGAACATTAGCATGGTCCTTTGAATTATTAGCCCAGTGGTATTACAAATATGCCTGTTTTCTCAAGAGGAGAGAAGGTATAGCAAATAAACTTATTACATTGCAAGCAAACAATTCCAACTGTGAGTCAAAAAGAGAGGCAAATAGGATTGTATCGCATTATCAAGAAAGGAGAGGGAGTGGCATAGTGATAATGTCACTGGACTAATCATCCAGACCTCCAGGCTAACGTTCGGGGTGGGGGGGCAGAAATCGGTTCAAATCCTGCTACGGCGCATGTTGAAATACCTCAACTCTCTCTAAAACTCAATAAAATTCTGGAATAGAAAGCTCACCTATTAAGAACATAAGAACTAGGAGCAGGAGTAGGCCGTCTGGCCCTTTGAGCCTGCTCCGCCATTCAATAAGAACATGGCTGATCTTTTCGTGGACTCAGATCCACTTACCCGTGTTCTCACCGTATCCCTTAATTCCTTTATTGTTCAAAAAAAAAAAATCTACTTTTTTTTTAAAACCTTTACTGAAGTAGCATCAACTACTTCACTGGGCAAGGAATTCCACAGATTAACAACCCTCTGGGTGAAGAAATTCCTTCTCAATTCAGTCCTAAATCTGCTCCCTCTAATCTTGAGGCTATGCCCTCTTGTCCTAGCTTTACCTGCCAGTGGAAACATCCTCTCTACTTCTATCTTATCTATTCCCTTCATAATTTTATATGTTTCTATAAAATCCCCCCTCAATCTTCTGAATTCCAATGAATATAATCCCAATCTACTCAGTCTCTCCTCATAAGCCAACCCCCTCAACTCCAGAATCCAACAATGTAACCACTGCCAACTGCCATAAAACCCATCTGGTTCATTAATGTCCTTTACGGAAGGAAATCTATCATCCTTACCTGGCTTGGTATACATGTGACTCCAGAGTTGTTTGTCCATTAATTACCCTCTGGGCAATAAATGCTGTCTTAACCAGTGGCACTCAGATTCCACAAATGTTTAAAAAGTACATAGTAGAACGGCCTCTGACTATTGTAGGAGATATAGTCGGATCTCTTCAAGACAGCAGTGCATGCAGTCTGGTCACCCAACCAATGGAAGGTTGCTGATGCCGTAAAAGGAAGGAACGTGAAAATTAAGAGTGGTAAACACAACTTAAAATGTGAGGAAAACTGGACAAAGTGCAAGAAAGAAACAGATCAGCAATTCTCTGCTCGCAGGAGAACAAGATGAACATCGTCAGTGTTTCCACATACCTGTAATTCCCTATCCCCGAAACCACTGTAATAAATCTCTAAGACACTCTCCAAAATTAATTTTGAATTGAATGCACCTATTGGCGTCAAACTAGTATTTGATATAGATTCAGTACAAATTTCCTGACTTTTGTAATCATAGTCCTTAATTGGGCTTTATAAAGCCCATTACACAAACTATTGTATTAACTGTTTTGTTAAAGTCATGCTTCCTTCAAAAGATTGTGCACAAATAACCCCAGCTCTGTCTTCTTGCATAGACCAGCAGAGTCAAATAGTAACTTTTGTGCCTTACACTGGCTGAGGGTGTGTGTAAAGTGAGGTGACACTTTGCCTAAACGTAGGTAAGTTCTTAAACTTGTCACCCACAATGAGCAGAGATACCAGCCAAACTTAAATTTAGTGATTTAAGAAGAGAGACTCTCACAATGGCAATAAAAATAATCTATTTTAAATTCAAAAAATAATATTTGGTCCTTTGATCTCATTGGATGGGTGATTATTCTTACTGGCCACATGCTATCCATATTTTATCAGAGCCTCTATCCTCTGTCTGTCCATTCCCAGCAAGTTTGTCTCACCACTTCATCCCAATTCTCTATCTGAGCCTCTCCCCTCACTTCTTCCATCTCCAACAATTTGATCAACTTAACCCAGTCTGCACATGTTTGTCAAAGGGTATCAGTGGCAACAAGTCATTTGCAGAATATACACAGGGATGTATACAAAGCTGTCGCTTGACTGCAGAAGCCTACATTAAAAACGGAGTTTAATACTTACATTTAATTCTATTATCCACAGCAAACCAACAAATAAAAGGTCAAAAGTAACAAATAAGCAGAAAGTCCTCCTAACATCAGAAATAGGTTTCCTGTCACTGTATGGCTCTAATCTAGCTGCAAGTTGGGATGTGTGAACGGAATGTGTGGTACTAAGGGAAGTACTGGAATTGAAACGATCAGCTCGAGCTTCCTCCTGGTCATTCGGCAATTTGCTCATCCTGCACGACTCTACCGTAGCTTCAGCATCACCAGAAGCAGCTGTACAAGAACAGAAACATGACAGTTCAGCAGAGAAGTGTAGGAGGAGAACGTAAAAATAGTAAACACATGGTTTGCTTTCCTCAAATAAGGACCAGGCAACTTATATTAATACAACTACCACCCCCAATTTAACTATAACTGCCCCTATCAAACTCCCACTGCGTTAAGCCCCCGCCACCAGAATCTCAGATGCCCAGAAGGGGGAGGGTTACTTGGTTCATGGGCATGAGAGCTGCTCCTGCAAGCTCCCAGGTTGTCAATGGATAGATGCATTAAACCATGGTATGAAACACTGACTAAACTTCCTTCTGTGTATTGTGATTCTGACTATCGAGTCTGTGTTGGCTCTTTCAAGGAACAAACCATTAGCCCTATTTTTTTGATACAACTTTCTTTTGAAAATATTTATCCAGTTTCCATTTGAAGTCTCTGTTTCTACCACCCTTTCTAAATTCGAACTGCTGACTGCATAATAAGTTTGTTCCTTCTAATGTCACCTCTGGCTCTTTTACCAATCTTTTCACTTCCTATCCTTAGGATTTGTCTTTTCAGCCATTACAAACAGTTTCTATATTTAGAATAATTAAACCAAAGATTTTGAACATTATCAAATCTACTCTTTGCTGTTAACTGTTCTCTTTCTCTACACAAATGCTGCCAGATGTCCAACACTCTGCTTTTATTTCACAATTCCAGCAATCGCAGCATGTCTTCTCTACTCAAAGGAGAACAAGGTGAGCTTCTTCAGTCTTTCAAGATACGTGTAAGTCTCAGGGATGAGGAAGATTGTAACAAATTTCTCTGTATCCTCTCCAAAGCATTCATGTCCCTCGTAAATTGGTTTTGGATGTAATAATACCTATTGGAGTCAAACTTTTGTTCTTTACAGATTCAGTACACTTTCTTGACTTTTGTATTCATAGTCCTTCAACGGACTTTATGAAGCCCGTTACCCATAATACTGTAATAACTGCTTTGTTAATCAGGCATGACTTTAACAAAGATTTGTGCACAAACAACCCCAGTTCTGTCTTCTTCCATCTCTTTTAGTGTCATTTAGTTGTATTGCCACTCATTCTTCCCAACAATAGTAGTTGAGGTGAATAGTATATAGAAGATGCATTTAAGAGAAAACTAGACATATGCATGGAAAAAGGAAAAGAAGAATGTGAATCAGAGATAGTAGGAACTGCAGATGCTGGAGAATCCGAGACAACAAGATGCAGGGCTGGATGAACACAGCAGGCCAAGCAGCATCATAGGAGCAGAGAGGCTGACGTTTTGGGCCTAGACCCTTCTTCAGAAAAGGTTTCTGAAAAGATTTTCTGATGAAGGTCTAGGCCCA